CATCACTGCATCGAGCACCATTATCATCAATCCTCCATACTTATTAATCCGTTGATTGCGCTTCACAGCTAGCACATCAAACTAATGACTCCCTCATCGCGTGCGACATTACTGACAGAAATCTGCACAGGCGTTACGGGGAATCTTCAGCCTGTCACAACACAGAATAAGACGACTTACAGCAATGATGAGGAAGCCTCACCTAGGTGGTTGGCGTGTGCTCCTTTTTTGGTATGTTAAACTCAGTATTAGCCCTTCTAATCTTCAGCACTTATATGACCTATATTATCTTGCAGGTGCCGTAAGACTCTTACTCAAACTAAAAATAAATTGAAGGCGTAGTTTTACAGCGTCTAAAAGTAAAAGAGTGTCACACCAGAGAATAAGACGACGTACAGCAATGACCAGGAGACCTCACCTGGATGGTTGGCGGGTGCTCCTTTTTTGGTATGTTACACTCTATTAGCAGTTCTAATCTTCAGCACTTATATAATATTATCTTGTAGGTGCCGTAAGACTCTTACTTAAGCTAAAAGATAAATTGAAGGCGTATTTTGACTCCACCTAAAAGTAAAAGGGTGCAACATCAGTTGAGGCCGAATAAGACGACGTACAGCAATGACCAGGAAGCCTCACGAGGGTGGTTGGCGGAGGCTACGTTTGGGTATTTTATACTCTATTAGCACTTCTAATCTTCAGCACTTATATGACCTATATTTATTATCTTTCAGGTGCCCTAAGAGTAAGACTCTTACTCAAACAAAAAAATGAAGACGTATTTTGACTGCGTCTAAAAGTAAAAGGATGCAACATCAGTTCAGTTGGAGTCTTTCTGGATGTAGATACAGATGAACCTGGTTCGAACCATGAAAATGCCTTCTAAAGCTGTAATAATAGTTGTTTGAAGAGTTTCTGAGCTTCTCCTCCCTTTTTGCTCTGGGGGTATCAAAGGTCCAGTTTCTTGCAAAGCCTTGCACAGGGGCTCTCGTGGCCTAGAGGTTAAAGTGTTGGCCTCTCATTCAAAGGCCCCGGGTTCGAATCCGGGTAGCGACCGAAAAATTTTCTTCTCTAAAATTGTCTCCTTTCACCTCCTTTCCTGCTCTCTAGCAATGTTCTGTTGTCTGCTTTCGTTTCCACTTTCTGCCCCCACCCCCTCACCTCCTTTGCTCCCTCCTCTGTGCTCCTGACTCTTTCTGCAGCCTTTCTACTGCTCCTTGGCTCCTCCAAACTGCTGTCTTTCTGCCACACCCCTGATCTTCTGGTAGGAAAGATCTACACCTAGCCTTCTCGGACAAGGGCGAAAAATCTCGGAGGGCCC